AAAAATATATCCCATAACGTGTTCGTCATCATTCCTGTCTATAGTGAAAGGTTAACGTGCTTGTTAATATCTGAACAGAAGATAGACATCTGACACAGCATATTCCAACAATAACTTTTCACGGTACTACTAAATCACTACACAGAGAAACGCTAACGAGCACAAGAGCAGATTAACCTTCGCGACAGGTAACGTTAAATGTGTTGATTCAAAGCGATGAGAAGTATATGTTATATTCTCTGAAAACGATGTTGTTAGATTAATTATAACAAAAGTACATAAAATGTAATTTAACATTGATTATTGACAACATTACGTACAGCGCAATGACTAGTACATTGATTGTTCCGTTTATTAGGACTCTGCCCATACAACCCCTATCCAATACACAAGCACCTACAGGACATTCTATAAATTTGCATAAGCAAACCATATATAATATTTTAGACAATTGCTTGAGCCCTATAAATGTAGTGATGTAGTGATGACATGGCTATTTCGAAGACAAATAAAATAAAATAATAGGGAAGAGTAAAGTTCTATCCAACTTTTAAAATAACTGGATTATTGATGTCCCTACTATTGATGCTCCAACAGGTACATTCCTGATAACGGCTGAAATTTTTACTAGCTATTGAAAGTCACCCGTCAATACAAGAGCCTGTAGACAGTAGCAATTGATGAGGAATTTAACATTGGCCAGGATTCGGCTATTTCTAACCATACTGTGTGAAGAACTTATGAAAATATATAACATGACACACGGAAACTAGTCTGAAAACCATTTATGTCACATGCACCGAGAAAGCAAGACTTTGATGATGTAGATAAGTGTATGTTATGTGGTCTGAGGAGTTTTGTTTGCCTTTTTATATACCGGGGGAAAAGTAAAAATATGTAGTTTTTGGCTCTGCTTACGCTGTTCCGACAGTTGAGAACAACGCTCATTCAGCAGAGGGTGGGTCCTTTGACTCGTTTAGAATGGTGAATAACATTGAAGGTGTACCTGAATATTGACGATCTTGTTCAGCATGCAACGTTTTCATCTCGATATACAAATGTGATAATGCAACAGTTAACTGCATTTATATTGTCCCAATTTTACATGCCTCACTGACTTCAGTGATTTTCCTTCTTCAGCACAATTATCGAACCTCAACATGATTAAGTATGATCTACCACTTCCTATTCGCCACCTCATTATTCTGCTAGCACTTGTGAACTAAACAACATACCACAGTTCTAGACAAGTGAGCTGCAGGCAAAACAAATATCCTTAAAAGTTTGTTGAGTATGCGTTGTGGCAGTTGGACGTTCTAATAAAGTTTCGTGCCAGTTTTATATGTGATAAGATCTTATATCATTTATTGATGTAAATATATGAGATGTTCCTACTGTTTATCATACAACATGTTTCTAACACTCTGCGTACTTCCTAGTGTTTATCCTACAACGTGTTTTAACACTCTGGGTACTTCCTACTGTTTACCATACAACGTGTTTTTAACACTCTGGGTACTTCCTAGTGTTTATCGTGCAACGTGTTTTAACACACTGGGTACTTTCTAATGTTTATCGTGCAACATGTTTTAACACACTGGGTATTTTCTAATGTTTATAATGCAACGTGTTTCTAACACTCTTGGTGCTTCCTAGTGTATATCCTACAACATGTTTTTAACACTCTGTTTATCATACAATGTGTTTTTAACACTCTAGGTACTTCTGTTACGTATTAGAATTTCAAATGGTCTGAAATTGAGTTAACTGATTATTTAAATTTAGTAGTTAAATTGTACTTTGGACTTAGTAGTTAAGTAAAAGCCGATATATAGTCAGTTTATGATATTTGCCAACAAGATTTATACCCACAATTTTCTTTTTTAACACAAGTATATTATATAAACAATAATACAATTTACATTGACAGTTATTACAAATAGTTATTACAAACAATGATTTATAAACAAAAGTTTCACAAACTTACAAGCAGTATAAAGTCTTCCTTTTACTCTGGAACTTCTTCGATATCTTATCGAGGGTTCACGATCAGCGAGTTAATTACGAGTTGATGTAGATATAATTCACTTAACGGGAAGCTAGCTAGCTTTGTCCTTCGTTATTTGCCGGCCACAAACGCTGAGTCTTTGTCCTTCGTTATTCAACAGTCACGCGCACTGAGTCTTCCGCGTTGAATTTATATAACGTTTTCGTAAAAGTATTAACGTCCGATGTGAATCCACTGAAGTTAAATGGTTTGTAATGTTCGAAATTTATAAATATTCCTTGTCAAATATATAAAGTTTTCTGATTAATAAGCGTTATAACAATCACAGTTATAGCTTTCGAAGTTTATAGTACAGTGACTATAGCAAACTAATAATAGATATCTTCCTTGGCGCGCATCGCGTTGGTTATATTTATAGCAGTGGAAAGGTTTTCTAGAAAATTCATATCACGTAACAATACAATTTAAGTGTTTACGCACACACATATATTGTTGACTCGAGAATTTTCTACAACTTTGGAGAATAGGCGGGAGTTTCGCAATACATATCTGACAGTATAAGCTATGTATATTTCTAAATATAAATTTAATCTAAAGGAACGTTGATATCAAAATCAATATATAATAACAAATTCATTACACTTCCTCGTGTTTATCAAATAACGTGTTTTAATCACTAAGTATACTTTCTAGTGTTTATTTTATAGCGTATTTTAATCAATCAAGATTATTTCTACTGTAGAATATATAAGGTACATTTATTATTCATTCTAGTGTTTATTAAATGACTAGTGTATAACCCGTCAAAAATGATGGGCAAGTATTACCACCCCCACCCCATAGTATACCCTAACCTCACATTTCATAGTTAACTGAAATAGATAAATTTTGCGAAATCAAGCTTGACCAACAAAGAGGAAGAAAAGTGCAGTCGAGGCAGTCAGACGTCGGTAAAATCCTTTGTGAGCCAATCAAAATTAAGATCATTCATGAAATGAATTCGTGGCGTTTTCATAAAATGATTATTGGTAAAAATCAGTTAGATTAAGAACTTCTAATATATATAGAAAAGCCAGTGCGTTTTGGTAACACTAGGTTCCAACAATGGTTTGTATGTCACGTTGCTTAGCAACCAAAGTATAACCTAATATTGTTGTTAGTCTATGTACTGAAAGAATGAAACGCAATGTGTAGACAACAAAACTGGAAAAAATATTTGTTGATTTCTTAACTTAAAGTCTCCGTTGATTAAATAGTTTTTTTTGTTATTAAAAACGTCTTTGATATAACAGAAAATAGCTTAATTCAGAAACGATTTAAGTTTAAAACTGAATCGATATTTTTGCTTTCATGATGCACTTGGCTCCAGGCTAGGTGATCCCATTTTTACTTTAAGCTTATTATAAGAACACAAGCCACATTTATAAGTTTCACAGCACCTCCTTCACGATCCCTTTGCACCCCTGTCACTAAAATCATAATGGACAGACAGTAATCGAACAATTCTATCTGGATAAATGCATTTTGGCTTTTCTGACGCCTCCTATTTCGAAAAATCAAGGGTGACGTGACACACACACACACTGACTTTTATGTAGAATATTTTTTTACTACTCCAGATACCTCTCACTGTTTATTATACAAGATCATTTTAACACTTAGATTACTTCCAAGCGTTTACATTATGTGTTTTATCATTCCGAGTTTACCACTATATACAATATAGCATGCTTTATTTCACAGTGTATTTTTTCCAAATTTTATATAATGTGTTTTAATCGTTTCTAAGTTTTTCTCCCTGTCTTTTGCGATGAATGTGCCACGTTTTTTTCAACATTTAGAACTCTTCGATCTGTTTCTATTATTACGTGTTTTATCTTTAAGTGTGCATCTCACGTGTTATATTGTAACAAATTGAAATCTTAATGTGCTTCCATGATGTTATAACGAGTTTTAGATTTCTGTGTTGTATTGTAACGTGTTTTTGCCTATTAATGTTTTTCCATTGTGTTATAGGGTATCGGATTTATCTCTTGGTGTGTTTACCATAGTGTTATAGACTAATATGTTTTTATCTCTTGATCGTTTTCCATTGTGATACAGAGTAACGGTTTTTTTTTGTTTTTTTTTGTTGTTGTTCCTGGTGTGTTTCCTATTGTGTTATAGAGCAACGTGTTTACATTTCTTTGTGTATTTGCCATTCTGTCATAGAGCAACTGTGTTTGCGTTTCTTTGTGTGTTTCCCATTTTTGTTATAGAGTAAGGTGTTTTTATCCCTTGGTGTGTTTCCCATTTTGTTATAGAGCAACGAGTTTTTATCTATTTGTTTGTTTCCAATTGTGTTATAGAACAACGTGTTTTCATCTTTTTTGTGTTTCACATTGTGATATAGAAGAATGTGTTTCTATCTCTTGATGTGCTTCCCACTAATTTATTTTTTAATATAACTATCTCCAATTTTGAGCTCATAGAAGTCTGCTAGTCAACACCACCAATAGCCAAATCTTGAGATACTCTTTTCTAACAGCATAGTGAGATGTGACCGTCATTCTTATAAAGCACCAATGGCTTCAAAGTATGGAGGACCATGAACCCTTAGTTTCACAGTCTAGTCACGCTAATCAATTGGCCAGAAATTAGCATAAAAGATAAATCAAAAAATGAATCTGATTAATACCATTTGAATGCACTCTTTGATTATTCGGGCAGTATGATCGTTGCGAACACAACTTTCCTTTGTTTAGTTAATCTCAAGTGAATTATAAACATATGCACAAATATGGAGTTAATCTACTAAATAAACGAGTACAGATAGAAAGACACATGCATGGATGGATGAATTTGTAACTACACGCACAGAACATAAGAATAATTATCTGTTGTTGTTGTTTTTTTTCAGAGACAATATACTTTTTTGACATCTACTTGTAGTGGTGGAGATTCTTTTTGTTTCCCTGAATCACCCAGGGACATCAATAATACCAGTTCCACGATGTTGAGGCATACACCAAATCACTTGTATGATCATCCCTCAGTGGCCATCGGTGATATTCATCCGTCAGACGGACGCAATTATCATCCCTTTAGTGAGCATTTTCATGGTACTTTAGGAGGTCATAACGAATTTGTTAAGAGTCCAAGAGAAGAACAAAGTGGAGACTTTGGAAAAGTACCAAATGTTTTCACTGCACAGACCTATTCCTTGCCACACTCACTCTCTTACAGTGGGTGCTCACAGTCCTCCTTCCTACAGGAAACATCATACAGCTCTCCATGTGGTCCAGTCATGGAAATTTCTCGACCATCAGCAGCAGCTTCTTTCTTTGCTAGGTAAGTAAGTTTTCTTCGACAGGTGGAGTTTAAATATATAATACCTTTGCAAACTTACTAGATTTGGAAACTGCCAATGTTATATTGAAGACGCCTACCTAGGATCTCAGATAAGTTAGTTCAATATATATATTTGAGTGTTGAATTTCTTTTGTCTATTCTTCAACTAACTATAGATTAAAATAATATATTTTATGATTTTAACTGTTTTTAATACATCCAAGCTCCATTGTTATATTATTAAAATAAATCTGTATAATTAAAAGTACAATGTATGTCAGTCGATCCGCGCGTGTATTAGTACTAGTTTACATGGAAACCAAATATTTCTATTAGCTAATTGTACAGTGGTACTTTTACGTTTACCCACCACCAACTCCTGAGCTACTCTTTTACCAACGAATAATGGGATTGACCGTTACAATATAACGCCCCCACGGCTGAAAGGGTTAGCATGTTTGGTGGAACGGGGATTCGAACCCACGACCCGCAGATCGCGAGTCAAGCTGGTCATGTTATACGAGTGAACGACGGTTAAAGTGCATTGTTTTATACGAGTGCAAAACTACGAAACTTATAACGTTAACTTTATCTGCAATTATTTCAGTAACACGAACAACTAAATTTAGTATATACCTCGTACGCAAAGCACGAATTTATCTCCTGGTCCCTAAATATTTTCTGATTGCTCTCGTGAACTAAAACGACAATTTATAAATTTTGACATAAAACTAAAAATTTCTTTATCCTACTTGCCCTGAAATCAACGTGCTCTAAAGAAATCAAGCAAAATCTTAGGAAAAATCAACATTTTGTTGCATGAAGAGGTTGTTGTTAATAATTCTTAATTAGTATTTTTTGTTCATCAATTAACTGTTATTTGCTACATTTATATTCTATTTCCATGCCATTGAATATGATAATGGAACATATAATAACCACATTTTTATGAGTGTTAACTTTCTGTTATACAAAAACATAGACATGATTTTAACACTTAGATACACTTACTGGGGTATAATTTTCCCTATCAGTCTTAAACGACATTTACGTCATAATTTGGGCACATACAAAAGAAGGAAATGCTCTCTCTCTTGTCTCTTCAGAAGTTAAAATAACAACAATAGGCATAATTTCTAGGTCAACGCTTATTTTTTGTTTTCCTGATGTGATCAAAGTAACATAAAAATATGTTTATCACTAGAATGTGTGTTGCGATATTTTGGTTTTTAATGTACAATTTTTTTTTCTACAATTTCTTTAAGTATTTCATTTAAAGAACAATCAGAGAGATTGCATACTATTGTCTCACCGCTCCTTTTCGAAATTGCATGCGTGTATATTATATATAATTTCACCTTCGAAAACTCAAAACATCATTCTCAAATCCAGAATGATCAACGATCCGGATCATTTTCTGTAGTGTTAAGAGGAGTCTCAACCTTAATGTGCCCATGAAATTTGGTACAAATCAGATAACAGTTACAGAGTAATTAACCGAAAACCGCGAAAATGCCCTATCTATTAATAAAAAAAATGCTTCAAAGTGATCCATAATCCTGATCCGGATTTGGATCCAGACCAAGTTTGCGGATGACTATCCCATGTTGACTTCCCAACTTGTGTAAAAGTTTCGTGTACATCGGTATTTCAATTTTAGAGATACGCGCGTGGAAACACACACACGAACATGATTGCAATGCCCATCGCAGGGCGATGGGTAACAAAGGGTTCTTTCATTTTACACTGACTGATAATCATAATTTATAAATGGAATGTTCCAGTTCTCATGCTGCTTTTGCAACTGCTTCTTCATTCCTTGATTGAGTCCAACATTTTAGCCATGTTTACGCATTATTTCCATCGTAACTAGCTTTGCGAAGCACAATGGGGTCAATTTTAGACCACATATTTTGAGAAAGTTTCACATACTCCTCTATAGTAAGTGAATTTAAAGGCTTCCAAAACCAATTTTAAGCAGACTGAAGGTGTGTATGTCCCTTATAGAAGCAATGGGGGACATGATAGGTATGTAGTCGAAAGGAATTGCTGGAATCCCTAATTTCACATTAAAACAGATGTTGCTGGAAACTTTTCAACTTCCCGCGCGTGAGATTTCGACAAATGAAAATACTACTTTATTTTATTTATAACAGTTTCACGAGGTAGCTTCATCGCAGTGGTTCTATCAGTTGGAAAGTTGTCTTTCGTAATCATGGCATACCACTTGCAGGTGAAAACTTTGCTTTCCGGTGGTTTCACGTGTGATTTGGAGTACTTTGGTATCCTAAACGATTTAGTGTGCGAGGTCCTCGGCTTCCAAAGAGAGTTGTAAACGTTCCCTTCTTCGAAGTGTTTTTTTACTTCATTCAAAGTGTAATTCTTCAAAAATAAATATACTTCTACAGTCATAAATCCACTCATGGCGGCATTGCATTGTTCAATGGTTGTAGGTTGATCTTGAACCAAAGGTATAGGTGCTGAATATTTCATCCATGGAGACACGATTGTACCCGTTGCGATTTTACCCCTGAATTAGTCAAAGTAACTTGTTTATATAAAGTTCAGTTATCCTTCTTTTGAAGAAATGTTGATAGAAGTAATTTAAAATAGATTCGATTAGATGTATTTTTACTGCTACATTTTTTGTTTTATTTCAGTGATACTAAGAATACGTAATACGACATGATATAAAAATTTAGTCATCTTGATTTAAAGAAAGTGTTTATGATTTTCAGACTTACTGAACTCCTTTCTTTTTAAAATCATTTCACACTCAGAAAGCGTTGCAGATAACTTCCCATTTATAGTACTACAAAATGAAACACAATGGACGTGGATGAGATCATTCAGATTTAATCAGAATGTCAGCTGATAAACTTAAATTAAACGAGTATCGGTGGATTAGTCATAAATCTGATGCCTTAAAACGCTAAAAACCGTGTTTCGATACCTATTGTGTAGGTTTTTACTTATATACATGTAAACAATCAAATTTAAAATAAACATCGTTGCAAAAGTTCGAGTTGTATTTCTAGTCAAATGCTGCTCAATTCATTAAAATATTTTCTTACATATTAAGTATTGTAGACATTTATATTCAACACATTAGGAAAGTTTATTAATCGTAACGTTTAAAGAAAATATCTATTGTGCTTCGCTGACCAAAAAGAAAAATCTGCTTTCTCTTAGCGAGTTTACCAATTGATTAAATGGAACCTATATTTATTAATAGGTGCACATTTTAGTAGGCAGAATTAACACTTTACGTTGAACAAATAAAATACGTTTTCTCCTATCAACCAACTAGCTTACAGAGGCTAGATAAGCCTTAAATTTTTATCCAAAAAATTTGCGTGAATGGTTTATTGAATGAACATAGATTTGCGTGGGAAATTAGCACGTGAATTATGTACTAAAGACTTCGATATCTAGTTTTTAAAAGGACTTCCAGTCATACCTTCCTCTACCTTTTGCATTTGTTACAAAGAGAGTGGCTTTAATTGAAACTTCTTGTTTTTTTGGTGATTATTAAGAGGGCACAGTTCACGTAGGGGAAGAAAGTTAATCACAATCATAAGATATTGAGTGCATTTTATTGTTCACATTATTGGCATTTTTAAGCTGGAGAATGTTTGATTGTGGCGAAAGTTTCAGTCCTGTGATAATTCTGGAAAACTAATTTTCTACTAGGATTTGAGTCATCTCGAGGATTCCTACTGTTAAAGGAGATTTTTAGACATGAAAAAACTTCAAATTTAATTGAGAAATTGCTAAATTTCTTTGTATACTTTCCAGCCACTATACAATATGTTATGATGATTAACAAAGATATCATAAAATCAGTGTTTCTCGAGAGGTAGAAAGATATTATGCCGTGTTTTTAAGAACAAAATACAATACATGTTTGTTTCATAGGCTGCTCACAAATAAATATACTTGTTAACCTTGAAATCCTTGTTATACCAATATCGATTCAGCCGTTCTATTCGGGGAACTTCTGGGATGACTTATGGAGATAATATTCAAGTACTGGTGAATCTCGTTAAGTAAATCTTCAGGTATAACTGTCACGTGGATAGAAAAGTAAAATTATATTTAATAACCTACCTTAAGTATTTGACACAAGTAACATAGTTTTACTCTATTACATTATCAACTTCATTTCTATGTTTTATAGACAGATAGGTTTATGTTGTATTTTCTAAAAGTTTAACAAGGATAACGTTTTAGTCCTTAGAAAAGCATAACTAATTTTTAACTTTTATACACAGTCCCAGGTTAGTATTGTTCTTTCTGTACAGTGACTGACAAGTATTTTAACACCTATTCAGTCATGGATGTCTTTTCAATTGGTATGCATTTAAAAGTTGGCTATTTTCGAGTTTCTATTGTATTTTGATGTAATCTCAAAACATTGCTTTGATTTAAAAATAAGCTATAGATGAACGTTTTTGCTCCTGTTCAGTCAATGAAGGATATGTTATCTTGAATATTATCAAAATTATTGTTTGTCTCAGAAGTTTTCGAGCATGCCCGTGCCTATTTAGAATTTTTTAGTGTTGATGGAGGGCAGCTAATAAACAGCACCAACCACGAACTGTTGGGCTACTTTTGCCTAACAGGATAGTGAAGTTTTAACGCCAATCGTCCAAGATACTCACGATTCTAAAGTGCGAATCTCGTTTTTGGAGGAACAAGATGAGAACCAGTAATCTTTGAACTCACGATAATCACTAAGGCTACGCTTGGCTCACTAGAAAAGAAACTTAAACCTGTTTTATAACGATGGCGTATTTCGTGAGCATAATAGCTCTTTAGTATACATTAATATGCATTTGACATTGAGAACATTAAGCCTATTTGCTGTTGCATGAATACGTTAATCCAGTTTATACATTGAATCATGCCTTGAAGTCATCGTTGAGGTAAATAACATTTTATTATATTTCCAGATTGGTTCCACTTGTTTGGTTGCTGTCACGAATGTAATTAAAGCC